CGAGCTAAGAAAAACCAAGTCCTCAGAAAAATTGTTTTTGTTTTTCTTTCTTCAAAGCAAGGTTTCTTTGTGTAGCCCTGGCTGTCCTGGACTGGAACTCACTGGCTGGCCTTACACTCAGAGATCAGCCTGCTGCTGACCTCCTGAGTGCTGGGATTAAAGGTCTCACCATGCCCAGCTTAAAAAAAATTTTTTTTAAATTCTATCTGTATGGGTGTCTTTGGGGCTTTTTTGTTTTGTTTTTTTTCTACATGTGCACTGTGTGTAAAGGGACAGAGGAGGACATTGAGTTCCCCTGGAGTTACAGGTTGTGAGCAGCCACGTGGGTTCTGGGAACCAAACCTGGGTCCTCTGCAAAAGCAGCCATTGCTTTTTTTTTTTAACGCCCCCTAAACAAGGTTTCTCTTGTGTAGCCTGGCTATCCTGGAACTCTGTAGACCAGGACAACCTCTGCCTTTAGAGTGCTGGGATTAAAGGCTATAACCATTGCTCTTAACTGCTAAGCCATCTCTCCCACTTAGAAACTAAGTCTTGGAGTGTGTGTTGCTGCATGTCAGCCCCACCAGAACCCTACCCTTTGTATGTGGTGTTTTGTTTTGAAGACAGGGCCTCCTGTAGACCAACCTGGCCTGGAACACACAGTAGTATACCACCACACCCAACTTTAAAACAGTGTGTGTGTGTGTGTGTGTGTGTGTGTGTGTGTGTGTGTGTGTGTGTGTGAATACTTGAGCGAGTGCCACAACATGAAGACAACTTGGGAACGTGTTTCTCTCCTTTCGTAACGTGGGCCCTGTGGATTAATTAAGCACAGGTCATCAAGCGTGGCAGCAAGTGCCTCTACTACACACAGCCGTTTCACCCCCAGCCCTGTGCTTTCTCGACACCAAGGTCCATTTGGTTCCCACAGGGGCTTCTGCTGTGGGGAATTCCATCTGCAGACCACACCAAGCCCAGGCTTCCCACCATTTGGAAAGCAGACTTAGACTCGTAAGAATAAATACCCCTATGTGGATGAAGCAGTTTATTCTTTATTTTGATATAAAGGCAAAGCTCTGAAAAGCCAGTCACAGAGACTCAGCGGCAGCATTAGCCATGGCATAAGGAAGTCTGGGGCGGTTTCTGTGATGGTGGCTCTAGTGCAGATACTCCGGTGTCCACGGGAACAAGGCTTTGTTCCTGGATACTGGGCATCCCAGCTCACTGGTAACTCGGCGGCGGCAGCCACATCTTTGGCAGGAACCATCTTTTTTGTCACCTTGACGATCATGAGGGTTCTCCAGCCTTGAGTCAGTCTACAGCAAAGGCCTTTCCCCTGTGGTCATTCCCTCCTTTGGAGAAAGGAGACATTTAAGATCTTTTCTAAAAAAATGAGTGTTTTGCCTGTATATATGTACGTATACATGTGTGCCTGGCGGCCGGAGGCCAGGAGAGTGGTTGGATCTCGTGGGACTGGAGTTGAACACAGGTCTTCTGGGAGAGCAGTGAGCGCTCTTGGTCACTCCACCACTCCAGCCCTTAAGATCCGTTCTCAGTGTTCTCCGGTCTGGAAATCAACAGGCATCCTTGGGTGGCCTGGATGCTACAGTCAATGCTAGCCACGGGGTACCAGCCATCACATCAAACCCAGACTACTGTCTTCTTGTAATGGGCAGCAGCAAGGGACTGTACAGGGGTCCCCACTCCTAACCCCAGGGAGTCCTGGGAGTGTTCCTGAGTAACTTGAAGTCTGGCAGACCTTAGTTCTGGGTAGCTGCTACACCTAGCTAGCACAGCCTTACAAAGGGGCTAAAGGCCAGCAGGAGGTGGGAACTTGGGGCGAGGGGTGCACAAGCTGACCCTGTAATCCCAGCTGAGGAGTGACTGTCTGCTCCCCTCAGCTTCCACTCTGAATGCCCTATCCTGACTTGTTCCTTTACCTGGGGAATTTGAGGCTATCCTGGGATACACAGTGAAACCTTGCCTCAAAAAACTAATAAGCAAACAGGGTTAGAAAGACAGCTCAGAGCTGCTCTTCCAGAGGACTTGGGTTTGAATCCCAACACCTATATAGTGGCTAAAAACCATCCCCCTAGTTCCAGAGGACCCAATGCCCCTCTTCTTGCCTCTGAGGGTCCGTAGGGCATCCTGAGTTGACCTGCTTACTCTAGTTTTTGAGACGGTCTCCATGTGGGCCAGGTTGGTTTCATACTGGTCAATCCTGTCTTGTGCCTCAGCTACGAAGTGCTGGGGCCAACCCTGGTAAGTCAGGTGCTAGGCAATGCTCAGGACTCAACTTACCCACTGGACACCAGAGCGGCCTTCTCCACACGGAGCTTCTTCCTGGGCTCCATAAGGACTGAGAGAGGGCTCAGGGAAGCCTCGCTCTCGTCGTCCAGTTCTGCCAACACTCGATGAGCCGATTTCCTCCGGTTTCTTGTGGGTGGAGCGGGCGAGGCCCCCACTTCCGCAGGCTGGGTGGGAACAGCCAGGCTCTGTGGTCTGCCACCACCCCGGGAGAAGGTGAGGGGCTGTGGCTGCAGCTTGCTGAGGCTGCCGATGGAGTTGAGGATCAGGGTGGCCTTGGGGGCAGAGGACAGGGTGCTGAGTGGCCGGTGGGGTGCCCCCTGAGGGGGCAGCATGGGCTGGAAACCAGTCCCAGCCTCTCCCCGAGACCGAGGGACAGTAATGGCAGCAAAGTCCTGCGGTTTGACCCGGACTTGTTGGAACATGAAGTAGAATTCCGAGGAGCTGGTTCCCGCTTGCCCTTCAGGGCCAAAGGTCAGAAGGTCACCATCGCTCAACTCCAGCCTGTGGCCTCTTGGGAGTCGGACATTATTGACCAAAGTCCCTGTTAACGGTGAGGCACAAGACAACAGAAACATGTCTAGTGAGAAGTACCTGCCGCTTGGTTTGCAGGGAGCATGGGCGGGGGCGACATTAAACCTGAGGCCCCACAGCGTGTATTTCTCTCCCAGGGATGGATGGAAAGCTCCCTTGCTGTGCTCCTACTTGAAGCTGATCTACCACTACACAACTGTGGTTCTTTTTGAGGCAGTCCTAATCTGTATCCTAGGTTGGCCCAGAACTCAGTATTCTCCTGCCTCAGCCTCTGAAGTGCTGAGATCACAAGGTACATCACCATACTTGCTTCCTGCTGTCATCCTTGGCTGTAGGCATCTACACACCGTAGGGCCTATCCTCTAAGAGTAAGGCTCGCTAATACCAAAACACCTCCGGTTAGGATTCTCCAAACCTTGTGTCTGACCTGATAGGGAAACTGGAGATGGAAGAACTGTGGACTCCAGCCTCTTGAGGCTGCTTTGAGTTGGGACATAATGCCTAGGTCACTAGAACACTGCCTTGAGAACAAGGTGCTTCAGCAAAAACTGGAAACTGAGTCAAGTCTGAGCCGAGTACTAGAATGTCCCACAGTGACACTTTACTGAAGGCGCCTTCCTCCTAGCCCTGTGTGAACTAAACCAGCTGGGCAGGTTAGTCCTGTGAAGAGCTGACCAGGACCAATCTTGCTTGTCTGCTCTCCAGAGACTGACAGGGACCCTGGGAGGCAGGTAGCAGGGTCCCAGAGGCTCCCACACCTGTTGCCAGCCCGGGGCTGCCTGCTCACCCTTACCTTGGCTGCTGTGGTCCTCCAGGCTGACCCTCCAGTCGTCTCCTTGGAGCTCAGCATGCAGCTCTGCATGGACCCCCGAGATGAGGCCCGGCTCCTGCTGGGGCCGCAGGGCCACATCACACAGGTCAGCCCTGCAGCCCAGCCTATAGGTGCAGCCGGACCTGGACGGGGGGTGGAAGGTGTAGAGATCACCGCCCCTGCCGCCCCCTATGCGCAGCAGCTGGAAGCAGGGCAGCATGGGGGGTGCCCCCTCTGCACCTCTCCCTGCACCTCAGCAGTCCATCACCTCTCCTACTCCTGGGCCAGGCACCGTGGCCGGCCTTCAGTCCTGACGCCGACAGCTGTACTGTGGGTAGTGCCGACTTGAGAAGTGCAGACGCAGAGACCCTGAGGCCTGGGCATGCAGTGCGGGGGTGGCAGTCAAGGTGCGACTTAAAAAGCAATTCCAGGAGAGCCAGAAGATAATCCTGCGGCACCTCCGCGAAGCCAGATCCTCGGGCCGCAGCACATCCGGGAGGCTTTAACAATCTGTGCAAGGCAAAGCACCTTTAAGGCGACAGCTGGGGACATGCAGACCGGCTGAAGAGGTCCTGCTACACAAACGTGCGTGCAACACGAACGTGTCCCCTCGAGTGTAACCAGGAGCCGGGAAGCTGCTGGTCAAACTTCTTAACCCAGGCAGAGCACCCCTCCTGTCCTTCCCCCGCTCTCTGGGCCAGATCCCCCAGGGAAGTGGGTCCGCTGTCACCCACAAGGGGCGGCGCAGACAGGTCCCTAGTTCTGCGGCCAAGTGGATCTCACCCTTTCCTTTTTCCGCTGGCGGGGTAAACTGAGGAAGGGACTCCACACCCTGCGCCCCTCGCTCCCGCCGCGGTTTGACAGCCAGGAAGCCGCCCGGAGGGCGCGGCTTGGGCGCGCGCGCCGCGCAGACTCCTCCTCCGCAATTCCCGGGTCCCGCTTCGCGCCTGCGAGCCCGCCCCTCCCGGGGCCGGTCCTGATTGGCCGCCCGCCTTGCCCTCCTCCGCTCTATTGGACGAGGCGCAGGGAGGCGCTGTCCATCTCCCGCCCTCCGCCATCTCTGATTGGCCTGCACATTTTCCCGGGTTCCCGGGGTGGGGCGGGGCCGTCAGGGCGCGGAGCAGGCCTCAGGCGTCCGTCCGGGTGCCAGCGTGCACCTTTCCTCTTCCTCCTTCCGGCGGCGGAGCAATGGTGCTCCGGAGCAGCCCGCCAGCCCGCCCGCGTCGCGCATGCGTGGTCAGGGTGTGAAGCCAAGGCGGGGAGCTAGGTGAGGGGCGTGGCGAGAGGGCGGATCTCGCGCTGGGTAAGGGGCGTTCGGGAGGAGTCGGTTGGGGGCGGAAAGGGTCTCAGAGCGGGTGCTAGGGCGGGTGGAGGGGGTCCACAGGGGAAGCGGGTGCAGGATCCTGGTCAAAGAACGGATGAGGGGGTCAAGGCAGCCTTAGAGCTCAGGGTCCGGAGGGGGATGAGCCAGGGGTGTGTGCAGCGGACCAGGGGGAGACAGGAGGAGAGGGAGCGGCCGGGCTTAATTGGGTCAAGGAAAATGCAGACTAGTACTAGAAAGAGAAGCGGGTAGGAATCAATCTCGGGGTTGAGTGCAAACATTTGAACTGGGGTGGAAGTTGGACAGAGAAGATGCTGTAGGACGCCGAACAGAGAAGGGAGTGGAAGCTGAGGCCGGCTACAGAGAGGCTCAGATAAGATTGCAGGAAGCTGGCTTCCTGGCAACGGGCTCTGGGCTGCTTGGATTCCCCAGGGATCCCAGGGAGGCCGCTTAACCCCACATGTGGCCGCATTCTTGTGGGGCCAGGCCTTGGGCTAACGCTTTAATAGGAAATGACCCAGAAATCATGGCTCGGTGGTGCCTAGATGGGCTTCCCAGCGTCCCTACCATACCATGGCGAGACCTGTGGAGACGGGGCTCCCTGCGGGCCCTCTCACCTCCAGCCCCGAGCTGCAGGGACCATAGACACTTAAGGAGGAAGGTAAAGGCACCCCCCAGAATCCTGTAAGTAGAAGCAATCCCCACGAGCACCCCCTGACTCCCATCTCAGTACGTTTACCTCATGGTTGTTGCCATTCACATCATGGTTCGGTCTATCAGGAGCATGGTTGGGACAAGCGAGTGGTTTGCTTATCCTCTGCCTTCTTAGGGAAGTAGGGAAAGAGAGGCTCGGAGCCTGGGCGGATCTGTCAGTAACTCAAGGATTATGACTTTGTTATTGTAGGGCTTTCTCTTTGGAAGGTGGCCTGAAAACTGAATTGGAGTGTCCTTGTTTCTCCTATTGTCCAGGGGGACATAGATGCCTGGAGACATCTAGAGGCTTCAGATAGCATGGAGATGTTGCCGCCTTCAGGTCAGCGAGGCCGGTCAAGGAGGCTGGGGATCTCTCTTGTCTGAGAAACTGACAGTCTTTACTCTTGTGACCCCCCCTCAGGTTTTACTGGGCTGGTTCCTCCCTCCCACTTCCAAGCTCGGTCCCTTCCAACTCTGCCAAGATCGGCCCCGACCTGGGCTTCAGACATTCCCCTGATCCAATCCAGGACTGGCCAAGATGTCTTAGAGAGGCGGCTAGACACTCAGAGACCTACAGTGACCGTGTGGGAACAGGACGTTTGTGGAGATGCACAGGGGCCAGGGCGGAGAGGCAGGTAGGGGTCTGTCACATGATCCTTTACACACATTCATATATTTCAGTCCCTGGTTCCATTTTTTCTGTAGGTTTTCTATAGGCCATTGTTGGTACATAGACCATATTCACTGGGGTAATAAAATGGAGAGCTCTGGACTTAAATTCCCAGCTAACAAGGAATGTGGATGTCTAAGAGAGGAGATGGATTGCCCAGAAGCTTTTGTGATGGGAGATGACATGCAGCTTAGACATGCTGACCCAGTACAGCGGCATACTGGAGCTGGCTATGCTCCGGCTGTGTGTTTGAAGATTTTATTTCTGAGCCAGGCATGGCCTGACTTTAATCCAAGCACTAGAGAGGCAAAAGCAGGTGGATCTGAGTTCAAGGCCTCTCCCTGGTCTACAGAGTGAGTTTCCAGACAGCCAGGGCTACACAGAGAAAACCCTGTCTGGGGAAACCAAACCAAACCAAACCAAGATTTTTACTTTTATTTATGTGCATGTCTCTGTGTGTGAGCATGCGTACTTGGAGACCAGAAGAGGGTGTAGGGTTCTCTGGACTGGAGCTCCAGGCAGCTGTGAGCCATTGAATGTGGGGGCTGGGAACTGAGCTGGGGTTCTTTGCAGGAGCAGCAAGCACTCTGGAGCCATCTCTTCAGCCCCTGTGAATGAATATGTCTGCGTATGAGTGGGAATTGTTGCTTCTGTTGTTCTGTGCGTGTCTTTCTCCCAGTAGACTGGATGCCGTTTTGCGGCTCTTCAGGGAATAAAGCATGACAACGACAGAGGGGAATGCTAGACAGATTCTAGGGAACTGTGGCGAGTCATTTCACTAGGGGAGGGCGCTGCCTCAGGAAGGGGCACTAGCCTCCAGTTACACTAAATCCTGTGACCCTCGGGAGGGTGCTACCTCAGGAAGGAGCCCTCACACAAGCTAGTTTAGACATGCACGACACTGAGTCATTTGTAGATGGAGTACCCCCAGACTCCCTGTACAAAGTACCAAACTGTTGTTGTTGGTTTTTACTCTCTTTTTTGGGGGGGCCGCCACCCAGCTCCCACATGAATCACACATGGAGGCTTATTCTTACTTAAAAATGCCTGACCTTAGCTTGGTTTCTTGTCAGCTTTCCTTAACTTATCCCGTCTACCTTTTGCCTCTGGGCTTTTCCTGTTCTGTTTCTTCTGTAAATCTTACTTATTCCGTGGCTTGCTGTGTAGCTGGGTGGCTGGGTGGCTGGCCCCTGGAGTCCTCCTCCTCCTCTGACTCCTAGCCCTTTCCTCCCAGTTTTCTCCTATATATACTCCCTGCTGGCCAGCCCCGCCTATCCTTTGTCCTGCCTCGATATTGGCCGTTCAGTTCTTTATTAGACCATCAGGTGTGTTAGACACAGTCACACAGCTTCACAAACCCTCACTGAAAGACTGCACCCAAAGGTGGGATGTAGTGGTGCGTCCCTGTAGACCCAGTTACAACGGGAGAGTCCGAGTGACTTCATGTTTGAATTTTGTTACGTTTATGTGTTTTGTGTGTGGGTATGCGCGCACACACACACACACATACGCACACGCACGCCTGCCGTGGTGCACAAGTGCAGCAGTAGAGGCAGGAGGATCCCAAGTGCTGGGCCAGCCTCTGCTATGTATCATGTTCAAGGTCAGCCTGGGCTACATGAGACCCTGTCTCAAATGGAACAACAAAAAACTCTGTAGTTAACACTTGGTACCAGAAGCTCATCCGACCCCTTCGCTGCCCTCAGCTGAGAACCCAGACCTGTGCACTCGGAATGTGTAGTCCCCCCTTCCCTGCCCTCAGCTGAGACCCCAGACCCATGCACTCGGAATGTGTAGGCCCTGATGTGCACATTTGGTGTTTAATCCGTGTGCTTACGAATGGATCTCTGGAGAGATTGTGTTCCTCACTGGGTCTCACTAGCCCTGGGTCCCCTGAGCCCAGAAAGTGGACCTCACACACTTAGTAGGGACTTGATAGGTGATGGTGTGAATGTAGAGATCCTCCTGCCTCAGCTTTCCCCCCTGCTTCCCCACGTTAAGTGGAGGGTTACTATTCTCTTTGCTGTCTCCACCCTCCCAGCAGTACGAAGGACACATCTCAGCTAGGCCCACTTATCTTTCCTTTGAAGGTCTCTGGAGCTGGGGGTCTCCAGTGCCCTGAGCCAGCAGGCTGAGCTGATCTCTTGGCAGCTCCAAGAGTTGCGGCGGCTGGAAGAGGAGGTCCGGACCCTGCGGGAGACCTCCCTGCAGCAGAAGATGAGGTTGGAGGCTCAGGCCTTGGAGCTGGACGCTCTTGCGGTGGCCGAGAAGGCTGGCCAAGCCGAGGCTGAGGGCCTGCGTGCCGCCTTGGCCGGAGCTGAGATGGTCCGGAAGAACCTGGAGGAGGGGAACCAGAGGGACCTACAGGAGATCCAGAGTCTGCACCAAGAGCAGGTGAACGTGGGGGTGAGAGGGCTGAGCAACGTTTCGAGGTGAGCTTCCCAGCAGATTGCAGGGAGCGTCAGGGGCAGCAGAGCCATGGGGTCTTGGAAGGAGAACTTGGGTGGTTTGGTCTTCCTCGGGCTGCACTTGCTTCTTGGGAGTCGTGTGATCTTGCACCATTTTAAACTCTCCAAAGTGGAATCCCTCCCTCTTCTATGCCAAGTACTCTTCCAGGAGCGTGGTGGACGGAGGGAGTGAGGAAGCGGGGTGTGGGTCCTGGGGAAGTCGGGGTGCCCAGTACTTCTCTTTGGCTTCCGCGAGGGAGGAGCTGGCTGGGGATTCAGTGACCAAGCCGCCCGAGTCTGCCCGAGTATCTGCTGTCACGGATGGAGCCACAGCCTAGTGTGGGTCGCACTTAATGTGGCTGTAGCCAGCGGCAGCTGGGACAGTGCCGAAGGGTGCAGGAGCACCGCTGTGGTCTAGGGACAGGCACGGCCGCCCCGGGCGATGAAGAGTGGGAAGGAGGCTATAAAGAGGAGTGTCGTGTTTATAGTATTGGGGCAGCACCGCCTTGCTGCCCGTGAGTCATCGCTGAGGAGGCCCTGAGTTAGTCGCTGCACTGAGCAAACGCCCTGCTTTGATATCTGATAACCTGTGTAATTGGGACCGTGTTCAGAAGTCGTTGTGAGTGAGATGAACTGCTGATAGGTCAAAAAAATGAAAAAAAAAAAAAAAATAGAAGGTTTTAAGAAACTGGGGGGCTGGAGAGGTGGCTCAGAGGTTAAGAGCACTGGCTGCTCTTCCGGAGGTCCTGAGTTCAATTCCCAGCAACCACATGGTGGCTCACAACCGCCTGTAATGAGATCTGGTGCCCTCTTCTAAATAAGTAAATCTTAAAACAAAAAACAAAAAACCTGGGACTATAGCTCAGGGGTAGAGTGCTTCCCTGGTATGTGCAGGGGTATAGGCTAACCCCAGTGTCACCAGAAGAGAAGGTTCGTTGTGGTTGTTGTTGTTGAGTCAGGGTCTCGCTGTGTAGCTCTTGCCGACCTGGAACTCACAGATCCTCCTGCCTCTGCCTCCCAAGTGCTGGGATCAGAGGTGTGCGCCACCACGCCGGGCTCCAGTAAAGAGGCAGGGAAGTAACACATCGGATTTGTATTTTGTGTCTAAAAAGACTTTGTGCTTCCTTTCATGTACTTGTGTGGAGACAGGGCAGACCCAGCCTGAGGAAGCAGGGCAGACACCTTACCCGTTGGCTCCACACCGCCTAGCTGCTCTGATGCCCCCGGCTCTGCTTGGGGACTAGGGAGAAAGGCCCTCCCTCCTTAGAGAGTCGTCATGAGCACAGACTGAAGTAGGGTCAGAAAGCTGCAGGTGGGGGACGGATGAGAGGCCTTCCCGGGGTGGGGTGGGGGAGCCTCAGGAGGGAGCTTGGGGATGTGCGTTGCCAGGCAGCAGGCTTTGTGGGTATGGCAAGTTTGTTTTAGGGGTAAGAGTGTTAAGGCAGGGTCTTGATATGTAGCCCTGGCTGGCCTTGAACTTGAGGCAGTACCCCTGACTCAGCCTCCAAGAACTGGGATGTCTTAGGGTTTATAGTCCTGTCATAAAGCACCGTGACAAAGAGCGACTTGGGAAGGAAAGGGTTCCTTTGGCTTGCATATCCCTGGTCACAGTCCCTGAGGGAAGCCAGGACAGGAACCTGGAGGCAAGAGCTGAAGCAGAGGCCAGGGAGGGACGCTGCTCACTGACTTGCTCCTCGAGGCTTGGCCAGCCTGCTTTCTTATATAACTCAGGACCACCTACCTAGGGGTGGTACCACCCCACTGTGGGCTGGGCCCTCACACAGCAACCACTAATCAAGAAAATGTCCTATAGGCTTACCTACAGGACAGTCTGATGGATGCATTTTCTCAATTGAGGTTCCCCTTCCCAAAAAACTCTTATCTTGAGAGCTGGGCAGTGGTGGGCACGCCTTTAATCCCAGCACTCAGGAGGCAGAGGCAGGTGGATTCCTGTAAATCTGGATTCAAGGCCAGCTTCCAGCCTGGTCTACAGAGTGAGTTCCAGGACAGCCGGAGTGGTTACACAGAGGAACCCTGTCTTGAAAAAACAAACAAACAAACAAACTGTAGCTTGTGTCAAGTTGATGAAAAACTAACCAGCACACTGGATTACAGACATTTGCCTCCACCATGCTCAGCACCAGTGAGGGGGTTGTGTCCACGTGGGTGAGGGTGTGCACGGCACATGTGGATGTCAGAGGACAGGGTCTTTTATTGGCCTGTAAGTAGCCAGCCTGGGAGCTTCAGAGGTCTGCCTGTGTCTCCTGCCGTCTCACAGAGCTGGGGCGATTACAGGTGTGCCCAGCTTTTTGCGCAGGTTGTAGAGATCCCAACTCTGGTCTTCAAACTTGTGAGGCAATAACCGAGCCATCTTCCCAGTCCACAGACACTCAGGTATGAGGTGGCGTAGTTTACTCAGGCTGTTGGCAGTGGACACGGAGAGGTAGGGGAGTGAACTGGCAGGAACCGGCGGTTGTTTGGAAGGAACCGGGGAGAACCAGATGTGGAGAACCCTCCATCTGCTTGTACCAGGGTGACCTAGTGGGTGGTTCTGAGAGATAAGGCCCCAAGGCGGGATGAGCTGCCCCCCTCAGATTTATTTTTGTTTATGTGTGTTGTGTTAGTGAGTATGTACCACGTGTGTGTGGGGCCCCCAGAGCCAGACGAGGATCCTCTGAACTGCCTGCTGTGAGTGCTGAGAACTGAACATGAGTCCTGGAAGAGCGGGAAGCGCTCTTGGCTGCCGAGCCTTCACCAGCCCCTCAGGCTGGCCTTCTCTGAATGTCTTCTTCCTCCACAGCTGTCCTCCCTGACAGAGGCTCATGAGAAGGCTCTTGCTAGTCTGACCAGCAAGGCCGAGGACTTGGAGAAGTCTCTGAGTAGCTTGGAAATGAAGCGGGCAGGAGAAACCAGACAGCTGGCCGCAGCCCAGAAGGAGGTGGAACTGCTCCGGAGTCAACTGAGGTAGGTCAGTGGGCAGGGGCGTCTGGGCCGGGCATCTGGGCCGAGCCACTGCGGACCGTCTCATTCCTGCCTCCACCCTAGTAAGACCCAAGGGGAGCTGGAAGCTCAGGTGGCCTTGGTCGAAAGTCTGAGGAAGTATGTCGGGGAACAAGTCCCTCCGGAGGTCCATTGCCAGACGTGGGAGCCGGAACGGAAGGAGCTTCTAGACACCTTGCAGGTGAGGATGGCGGTGGCCTGCGAGGAGAGGGCACAGCCCCAGGAAGGGAGGCCATGCCCTCCCAGGGCTTAGACTGCCCGCTGCCTGAGGGTAGCATGGAGACCCTGACTGACGGTGTTCTTCCTCCTAGCACTTGAGGGAGGACAGGGCTGACCTTCAGGCCACCGTGGAGTTGCTGCAGGTTCGGGTACAGAGTCTGTCGCACATGCTCGCCCTGCAGGAAGAGGAGCTGACCAGGAAGGTAGGACCCTCTCGCTGCCAGGGCTTTCCTCCGGGGCAGTAGCTGGTGTGCTGCCGAGATCCACTTCTGCTGCTGCAGGAGTGAGACACAAAGGTCACCCCTTCCTGCTTCCTCAGAAGTACCGTCTCCCTCCTTCCCACGTGCAGATTCAGCCGTCAGATGCCCTGGAGTCCGAGTTCCCTAAGAAGTGCCATTTGCTGCTGCGCCGATGGCGGGAAAGGGTGTTTGTCCTCATGGTACAGCTCAAGGCCCAGGACCTGGAGCACAGGAACTCCATGAAGGGGCTGAGGGACCAGGTCAGGGGCTCTATTTCTCATCATTCTACACTCAGCGTCCCACACAACGATGACAGCTGTTCTTTGGGTGATCGCTGCGTGCTGGGCACGGGCCTGGAACAGACAAGAACATGCTCTCATGGAGCTTTGGTTCTGAAGGAAGACGATTGAATAAGTAGAAAGTGGGTGAAGTCCAACAGTTCTGTGCGCTGTGGAGAGAAGGCGGTGACTGGACTGAAGTGGATGGGTAGGATGGTCAGGGTGGCCTCTGAGGAGGCGACAGCATCCATCAGGGCGTGGCGTGGTCGCGGGTCAGGATGGGTTCTCAAAGTGTGGGCCCATGGAACGTGAGTTGGAACAAGAGCTCCGCTGTTTGCGGCTCCAGCAGCTCGCTGACCTGCGTGGCACTCCTCAGAGACCGCTGTGCTGTTCGTTTTCAAGGCAGGGTTTCTCCGTGGAGCCCTGACTGTCCTGGAACTCACTCTAGACCAGGCTGGCCTCGAACTCAGTGATTTGCCTGCCTTTCCCTCTCTCTAGTGCTTGGTTAAAAGCCTGCTCCACCACACCCAGCTTTCTTTTCTGTTCAAGACAGGGTTTCACTTTGTAGCCCTGGCTGTTCTAGAATTCGCTCTGTAAACCAAGCTGGCCTAGAACCCAGAGATCTGGGGCTGGAAAGATGGATCAGTGGTTAAGAAACTGGATGCTCTTCCAGAGGGCCCAGGTTCAATTCCCAGCATCCACATGACAGCTCACAACTGTCTGTAATTCAAATCTGACACCCTCACACAGATATACATGCAGGCAGAACACCAATGCACATAAAATAAAGATTTAAGAGAGAGAGAGGCTGGGTGGCTGTGGCACACGCCATTAATCCCAGCATTCGGGAGGCAGAGCCAGGCAGATCTCTGTGAGTTCGAGGCCAGCCTGGTCTACAGAGCGAGATCCAGGATGGCCAGAGCTACATAGTAAGACCCTGTCTTAGGGGGGAAAAAGAAAGATGTTTTGATTTTATGTATAGGAATGTTTTGCTTGCGTGCTTGTATGTATATGTACTGTGTGCCCATGGAAGTCAGAAGGTGTTGACTCCTCTGGACAATGATTACAAATGATTTTGAGCTATCATGTGGGTTGAGAGAATTGAACTCAGGTCCTCTGTAAGAACAGCCAGTGCTCTTAACCACTGAGCCAATCTCCAGCCCCATGCAGAGATTCCTGCTGTCTCCTTCATCCTCCTTTCCCTGTGTTCTCCGTGGCTTTGGCTCTAGGCTTCCCTGCCCAGCCCCCTTGCTCCCCTCTCTAGGTGGCAGAGCTCCAGGAACAAGTGAAGACCCAGAGCCAGAAGCAGGCCATCTTGCAGCGTGCCCTACAAGACAAAACCGCAGAGCTGGAGATGGAGCGGATAAGCACTAAGGTCTGAGCCAGGAGACTGGAGGGGGTGAGGAAGTCCCTGGCCAGGGTCTGCGGGACAGACGCCAGGCAGGAGGCTTCAAAAACACACTCACAACTGCATCTTTCCTAGACCCTGCAGCTGGAGCTGACCCGGGCTCAGGAGGGCAGGCAGAGGCAGGAGCAGCTGTCGGCCTCTGCCGAGGAGCAGCTGAAGTCGGTGGTCAGCGCTGTGAACAGGTATCTTCCATGGGCGGCAGGTGCCTCCCTAACTTCTGGGAACCTGAAGAGCCTCGGGCGGGAGCGGCTGGAGCGTGCTGAGGGGGAGCACCTCTCTCACACGGCATCACCCACTGTGAACTCAGCTGTGGTTGGACTGGGGCAGGGGAACCTGCTTCCTGCGGTTCAGTCTAGTGGCCCGTGAAGCTAAGCTCAGCGCCTCCCCAGCGGCTCCCCAGCTCCCCTCCCCCTCTCTCCCTCCCACCTTCCTCTGCACTTAGGACCTGTTTAGTTGGGGAAAGTGTCTAAACTGTACAGCCAGCCTGGTCTGTAGCCCAGTGGAGCACTTGCCTAGCATTCAGGAGTCCATCGTTTTAATCCCTAGCACTGAAAAAAAAAAAAAAAAAAAAAAGATGGAACTTTTAAACTTGCACAGAATCAGACTAGCTTGGAAGAGCCACTGCCCAGAGTCAAAGCATTACACGTGTCTCCTGCCTCCAGGAGGACTGAGGGTGTGCCATGGACGGGATTTTACTTCCTGCCAGATGAAAGACATGGTTCTTGATAGTGATTTACCACCAGAAAGCCCTTCCGGGCTTTGAGCACCCAAAACCCCCGTTGAGGTAGACAGTGCCAGAAACCAAGTATCTGGGCCTGAGCGGTGGTCACTCAGCTAGAGCTTAGCCAACCTCCGTGCCCACTGGTGGCCCCTGTAGCATTGTTGCTGAGCTCTTTCCTGGGCCACAGAATGCAGGTCCAGGTAGGCTATGACCCCGTGAACCTTGGTAGTTCCTCACTGCAGGCCAGGCGTGATGGTTCATGATGAACTTAAACCAGCTTCAGCTACTTAGGACTCTCTCAACCCTGAACATCCCTCCCCCACCAAACAAAAAGAGATCAGGAACCAAATGAGACAGACACTCTAGGCTTGGTGTCAGGAGTTTGTTTTCAGCTGGATCTCTATCTGTCTATCTATCTGTCTGTCTGTCTGTCTATCTATCTATCTTGGTGTTTCAAGACAGGATTTTGCTGTGTAGCCCTGGCTGTCCTGGAACTCTGTAGACCAGGCTGGCCTCGAACTCAGAGAGATCCACCTGCCTCTGCCTCCAGAGTCCTGGGATAAAGGCGTGCGCCACTACTGCCAGGCTTGGCTGGATGTTTTTACCTGACAGTCACTAAGGCTTAAACACTTAGGTATCTTTAGGTCTGCTAAGGAGCTTGACTGACCTGCTGTGACCTTCAGGGTCTGCTGAGGTCTTGTCCCTCCTGGTGGCTCCTGTTTCCCTTTCCTTGCTGCTTAACAGCCACCTCCCACTCATGTGACAGTACAAGACAGATGTGCCCTCTGCACACACCCTGCAGGTCTTTCAGAGATGAGGAAGGGTGGAGGGTGAGTGACCCGTGTCTTTTCCAGCACTCAGACCAACCTCCACAATACCATGACCAGGGTGGATCAGGCTGTAGCCCGGATCCCCAGCCTCAGCAACCGACTCAGCTACGCGGTCCGTAAGATCCACACCATTAAGGGTACGCAGAGCAACCGGGAGGTTTCCAGCCTGTCTCCTCTGGCCTGGCCCCTTCCTCCTAGCCCTGGATCTAACCCCGTATCTATCTTCTGTTGCCGTGGTAACCATTGCTGTGCCCTGTGCTGCTGCTGTCCTTCTGTTCTTCTGTCTGTACATCACTCTGTCCTGCGCTGCTGCTGTCCTGCTGTCCGTGTGTGCCCATCTCCCTGTCCTTCGCTTTTCCTTCTCAGGTTTGGTGGCTCGAAAACTGTCCCTTGCTCAGCTGCGCCTGGAAAGGTGAGGTGCAGGCGCATGGAGGTGGAGGGTGTGGTGGATGTCGAGGGCGGTCTGGTATTGGTTGCCAGGACTCAGAAAGGATCAAGGAGGCATGGAGGCCCTGGTCATGTGGCCGCTGAGGGAATTTTCTTTATCATTTCTGTCCCAGCTGTCCCCCGCCCCCACCCCCACCGGATGCAGACCTGTGCCTTGAGTTGGAGCAGCTCCGGGAAGAACGGAACCGCTTGGATGCTGAGCTGCAGCTGAGTGCCCACCTCATCCAGCAGGAGGTGGGCCGGGCACGGGAACAAGGTATGTCTGCATGGGTGGATGGATGGGGCTGGAGAAGACCTGGGGTCTGAGGCTCAGGTGCCAGGAGAGGTCATGTATGACCACAAAAACTTCCTCTTAGGGGAGGCAGAGCGCCGGCAGCTGAATGAGGTGGCCCAGCAGCTGGAGCAGGAGCTGCAGCGTGCCCAGGAGTCCCTGGCCAGCGTGGGGCAGCAGCTGGAGGCAGCGCGTCAGGGCCAGCAGGAGAGCACAGAAGAAGCCGCCAGCCTCCGGCAGGAGCTGACACAGCAGCAGCAGATCTACGGGCAAGGTGTGGGAGCGTGGCAGTGTGTGCCACCCTGCAGGATGGGCCGCTCCCCCTGACACTGCCTTGTACCCTCACCACAGCCCTGCAAGAGAAGGTGGTCGAGGTGGAAACTCGGCTGCGGGAACAGCTCTCAGACACCAAGAGGAGACTGAACGAGGCGCGGAGGGAGCAGGCCAAGGCTGGTGAGATGTGCTGGGGAGGACTTGGCCCTTCAGGAAGCAAGCAGCATTGAGACATAGGGCTGTTAACCCCATCCCGCCGCAAACCTTTTTAAGCTTTTATTGACACGTGCACGCAGTGGAGTAATGGAGGAATGGTGTAGTCGAATTCTTACTCAGTGCACACACTGCAGCTCCTACCAGGTCAAGAAACAGGCGGTGGTGGCGCACGCCTTTAATCCCAGCACTCAGGAGGCAGAGGCAGGCGGATCTCTGTGAGTTCGAGGCCAGGCTGGGTTACAGAGTGAGTTCCAGGACAGCCAGAGCTACACAGAGAAACCCTGTCTCAAAAAAACAAAAAAGAAGGAGGGAGGGAGGGAGGGAGGGAGGGAGGGAGGGAGGAAGGAAGGGAGGGAGGAAGGAAGGAAGGAAGGAAGGAAGGGAGGGAGGGAGGGAGGGAGGGAGGGAGGGAGGGAGGAAGGAAGGGAGGGAGGAAGGAAGGAAGGAAGGGAGGGAGGGAGGGAGGAAGGAAGGGAGGAAGGAAGGAAGGGAGGGAGGGAGGGAGGGAGGGAGGAAGGAAGGGAGGGAGGAAGGAAGGAAGGAAGAGCACGTGGCCTCTGGCTCCTGGGCCTGTGTCAGTACCCTCAGCAGACACCGCTGGCAGCTGCCATCACCAGAAACTTAACAGTTGGATGAGAGAGAGTTGTAGGATGGATGTTCATGTCTTCCCTAAGTGGAGGTGCAGTCAGCCCCCCTCTCTTACCTACTCAGCACACATCACACGGGACTTAGTTACAGGAACTCTCACTCCAGCCCCTGTCCAGGTCTTGCCTAAGGAACTGGGGTCAGGGATGAGGAAGGCACCTGGGGTGCACAGAGCCCGGGACCCCATGCCATCAGCCCACTCATGGTGTGGGAGAGACCCTGAGAGCCAGAACTGAGAACTCGGTCTTGTTGTTTGGGCTCCGGGCTGACCCACTCCCATCTCCTCAGTGGTCTCCTTGCGCCAGATCCAGCACAAAGCCATTCGGGAAAAAGAGCGCAACCAGGAACTCCGACGCCTGCAGGATGAGGCCCGGAAGGAGGAGGGGCAGCGGCTGGCCCGGCGGGTGCAGGAGCTGGAGAGGGACAAGAACCTCATGCTGGTAGGGCACAGCAGGGAGCGAAGTGTGGTAGCTGGTGGGTAAGGGAAGGTGGGGGCGGGGCGGCTCGGTGGCCAGTGCGGCTGACGCTCTCCTTCCCAGGCCACCCTGAAGCAAGGGGGTCTCCTCTCCCGTTACAAGCAGCAGCGCCTGTTGGCCGTGCTTCCCTCGGGGAAGGAGAAGTCGTCCGTGGGGTGCAGCGCCCGGGCTGTGGAGTCCCCAGAACCCAAGTGTCCAGCAGCCGCACCATCCAGGGAACCTCCAAAAGGTACTTTACATGGAAGGACAAGTGGCGTTCCAGACCTTCTCCACAGGCCCGAGCCCTCAAGGCCCTTAGCCTTTCATCCACGCTGCAGTGTGCCCTCCCAGCCTGTGCAGCCCCGCGCTCTGGGCAGCACGGAGCCTGCTCTCACCCCCGGTGTCTGTCCTGCGATGTTTTCTGTGTCAGGGTCCCTGACTGTCCTGTTTGAAAACCTGCAATGCCTGAGCGAGGCCATTTCCAGAGAGGAGGATGTTTGTCCAGAAGATAACCCGAGCACTTCAGACCACTGCTGAGCTGGAGCTGCCAGGAGCAACAGTGAAGCCAGCTGGAGCTGGATCTCCCAGGAGGGGTGGATAGGGAAGGCGAGGGGCAGGGGCCAGCCTAGCCTGTTCCCCAGCAAGCCTTGGGGCCCTAGCTTCCACCAGGTCTGAATTCTGCAATAAATAAAGATGGCTATAGTGGAGCTGTTGCTCGGAGATGCCTGGGAGGCTGGGGTTCTTTCTAAAGCCAGCTCATGGGGCGTGGGGCTGTGGGAAGCATATCCTCCCACCCCACCCTTCCTGAGTGGTACCCGCTTCCTAGCTGCTCTGGAAGTGTTTTGAGAGGCTCCTAGGTTTGGAGGTTTTGTTGTTGTTGTTGTTGTTGTTGTTTTTTAAAGATTTATTTATTATGTATACAGTATTTTTTTAAAGCTTTATTTATTTATTTTGTATACAGCATATATGACTGCAGGCCAGAAGAGGGCACCAGATCTCATTACAGGTGGTTTTGAGCCACCATGTGGGTGCTGAGAATTGAACTCAGGACCTCTGGAAGAGCAGTCAGTGCTCTTAACCTCTGAGCCATCTCTGCAGCCCGGAGGTTTTGTTGTTTTTGTTTTGACTTTTGAGACAGGGTCTCCACATAGCCCTGGCTGTCCTGGAGCTCACTGTATGTAGACAGGCTGGCTTTGAACTCAGAGATCTTACTTGGCTCTACCTCTCAAGTTCTCTCTCTCTCCCTCCCTCTCTCCCTCTCTCTCTGTCTCTCTTCTTCCTCTTTTTATGTAGCCTTGGCTGTCCTAAAACTCGCTCTGTAGACCAGGCTGGCCTTGAATTCAGAGATTCACCTGCCTCTGCCTCCCCAATGCTAGGATTGATGGCGTGTGTCACTGCTGCCTGGACCGTTTTCTTTACCTTCACTTTTTGTTTTAGAATTATTTTCTTTGGGTGATGATGAATGCTCGGAGCAAAATACTAAACATTCAGCACTCAAGAAGAGTCTCAGGCCCTCCTAGCCCAGGACCACTGTGATGGTGGCCTCAGGAGGGGAGGGGATGCTGGGCTCAGTGGTTCAGGACTGAGGATGCTAGGCACAGTTGGATTTTACTCCAGAGCTGGTCCAGATTGTGTTGTAAAGGGATTTAGAGTAGGTTGGAGAGGTGGCTCCGGGGTTAAGAACACTGGCTGCTCTTCCGGTTCTGGTGGGTCCGGTGCCTTCTGACCTGACTGCATTGCATGAACGTGGCGCGCAGATACACATGCAGGCAAAACCCACTCATGGGGCTGGAGAGATGGCTCAGTGGATAAGAGCACTGGCTGCTCTTCCAGAGGACCTTGGTTCAATTCCCAGCATCCACATGGCAGCTCACAACTGTAACTCCCGTTCCAGGGGACCCAACACTCATGGTAAAACACCAATGTACATAAAATAAAAATTTTAAAAACCACACCCCTTTCACATGAAAAAAAAATCATGTCTGGGTGTGAGTAGGGAGGAAGAGTGACTGGGTTGAAATCTTGGGAGCCTGAGTGAGGTGGTCCAGGGTCAGGATGGGGCCCAGGTGAGTGCTCTGGGAACAGAGCTTACAAGTGATCAACCACAGGCAGTGGGAACAACGTGTGTGAGGATGGAGTTGTCCTTCAGATACTCAAGGATTCTTGAGGAATCTCTCTGGGGGGAGGTGGTAGGGGGAGCAGGACCCTGGTGCTGGGGCCATCCTGAGGAAGGAAGAAGGAACTGGATTACATGGGGGAGCGTCCTTCCGAGCCTTTGGGGTTGACGCAGTCATCTCTGCATGGGGTCAGGAACCAGGATATCCTGGCTTCTAGTCACCCAGGTGGCTCCCCGTGGAATTCCTTAGATGTCACTGCCTGGGAGGTCCTTTTGTAGGGAAGAGCCGCGCCTGAGAGCAGCCGGCACCGTCCAAAGCGAGGTGGGGGAGGGGGCTCTGAGGCTGTGGTGAGAGTCTGAGGGTGCTAGCTGACCCAGGCGTCCCGCCTCCACCTGTAATTACCACGCTTCCCCACGCGGGGTTTGCCCCCGTTCTGTGGCTTCCAGTAACTATCGGGGATGAAAGGTGGCCTTCCCTGTGATTATGGAGACGACAGGCGGGTACTGATGGGTGCAGGGTGTGGATGGAGGGGGTGTGGAAACTGGGTGGGGCCTCCTGGGGTCTGGGTCACTGATAGGGAGACCTGGCTGATGGGACCTGGGCTGGGGGACTGAAGAGAGGTCACCAGCAGGTTCTTTGTAAACGAGTCTGACCAGTTAAACTCTGATGGGGATTCCTCACGTCACTGGGCTGGCCCCTCCCCACAGACTGGTCACCTCCTTTACCTCCACTATAAAGCCTCTTGGGTTCTCAAGCACTTAGACTCAGAGCACCCCACCCTGGGGGCCAGCAGACAGCCATGATGCTCAACTGGAAGCTGCTGGGGCTCCTGGTCCTTTGCCTGTGTGCTGGAGGTGAGTCGGAGAGGCTGGGAGCACACCTAGGGTGATGGAGAGTCAAGACAACTCACCCTCAGGGAGGGCACCCCCAGGAGGGACGGAGCAAATGGAATGCATGGAGCAGAGGAATTCTGGGGTGTCCAGCGAGGAAGGCAGGGGCACCTCGGTTCTCACTATGTCGCTAGGTCAGGTGGAGGGATGTGACAGGATTTGGGTGTGTGGAGTCACTGGAACTGGGTCTGTGTTGAGGACCGGTTATAACGAGATGGGGCCTGAGTGCCATGTGGGGCCACGACCACTGGGGGCAGTTCAGTGGGGTATCTCGCTAGGTTGGACAGAGCCATTTGGAGGCTTGATCACGTGAGCGGTCCCGATGAGCCTAGGCTTTCACATCATGTGAAGATGGCTTCAGCACTTGGGAAATCCGTGGGAGCACTTTGGGGAGGTTGGTTCTGGGGTTGGTTCTGGGGCCAGCCCAGCCTGTGCTGCTCTAAGGGGGGCCCAGCCTTTGGGTCTGAAGCTGGGTGAGGAGTGGTCTGTGACTCCATCTCTCTCCTTCCTCTTCTACAGGCATCTCAGGCAATGGGGACCCCTCTCCCAGACCCACAGAAGCCCAAGAAGAGGAGGACTCCTCGGCATTGCCCCTGGGCCCCCCAATCCCTGGGGACCCCTGGCCAGGGGTCCCTCCTCTGTTTGATGAACCTCCACCCCCAGGCTCCAACCGTCCCTGGAGAGACCTACCTGATGCGGGCGTCTGGCCCCCAGAGCCCCCCAGCACCAATCCCCCTCACCCTCCTCTGCCTGATGACCCCTGGCCAGCAGGAACCCAGCCCCCAGAAAACCCATGGCCACCTGCCCCTGAGATGGACCATGGATCTCAGGAGGAGCCAGACCTTGACCCACCCCAAGAAGAGTACAGATAGGAGGAGCCCTAGGGAACTTGGGCGAGCGTCCTCAGAACACACCCAAGCTCACCTCTTTCCTCTGCTGCCCCCTGAGGATCTCAGTTTTTCCTAATTGCTTAGCTCACTTCCTAAGGCTCTGGTTGGATTATGTTCAGGTGTCTATGTTCTGCACCCCCCCAACCCCCTTCACCTTGAGGTCCATGTTCAGCCCCTACCCCCCCCCTCACCTTGAGGTCCATGTTCAGTCCCTACCCCACCCCTTCACCTTGAGGTCCATGTTCAGCCCCTACCCCCCCCTTCACCTTGAGGTCCATGTTCAGCCCCTACCTTCCCTTTCACCTTGAGGTCCATGTTCAGGTCCTACCCCACCCCTTCACCTTGAGGTCCATGTTCGGCCCCTCCCCCTCCCCCCCTTCACCTTGAGGTCCATGTTC